TTATTATAAAAACGAGAGCCACATAAGCTCATATCGGCAAAAAGTTATGGACAAATACCATAACATTGGTTTCGATTTTGGAAATTTTCAGTTCAAGGTCTACTTTAAGGACTGAAAGCGTGCAGTAAAAATCCCCTGGAGGGGGCGCGATATAATATGGCCTGTGCGCCCCAAATAAAGTATAGATGTCACAGTCACAAGAGGCCCACTAACATTTTAAAAATAAAAGACGCGCATCTGACAGGACAACAAACGACAAACTTAAAATTAATACAAATTTATTTATACTATTTACATTATTCGGACTATTGTCCTCATTTTTGTCGCCATATTTATTACAACGTTTCGGCCGTTGTACGCTCTGGCCTTCTTCATGTGGTTGGAATGTCGAACTGAACTCTTTATTTCGCTCACTGGAGTAGACTGTTCTAATTACACATGCCATGTTTAATGGATGTCAGTTATCAGTTATCACCTGTTAATTCCCCTCTCCAAGTTCTCCACCGCCTTAACTGGGTATTGAACTTGTAACGGACCGTTGGGTGATGAGTATGTATTGTAGAACACGTGGGTAGAATTTGCTGCTAGCCAGTCCAGCTACACAAGAAAGTTGGACTTTAATTAAGTCCAAAGAAAAACAAACAAGACCGATAAATATATGTAAACAAATATATGTATTAACAACAAGTACAAGTTAAAAGCACATAGACAGTTACATAGTTTGTGTGGTGAATATTATGTGTGTGTGTGTGTGTGTGTGTGTGTGTGTGTGTGTGTGTGGTGGTGAGTGTTCATATGTACGTGTATTGTTCTTAGCGTGTTCCCAGAATTTGGGAAATGCTGTATCTGTGAGAGCTCACATATGTGAGGTGGTATAAGGCCCAAGGCCTGAGTAAAAAAGAGATCGAGGTGAAGGGTCAGCCAGTATTTATAGCCAGGGGAGAGAGACCCCTGGTGAAGGGTTAAGGAGGGGCTAACTCCGACAAACTTACACTCTTTGGCTCCTGTCACTGGATCTAACCAATGCCTTTATCCACTGTGTCATGTGTCCTTGAGGTGAGTTCAATACCCGTTTAAGGCAGTGGAGAACTTGGAGAGGGGAATTAACAGGAGATAACTGACATCCACTAAACATGGTACATGGAACTAGGACAGTTTATGCCAGTGAGCAAAATAAAGGGTTCAGTTCGACATTCCAACCACCTGAAGAAGGCCGGAGTGTACAATGGTCGAAACGTAATAAATATGGCGACAAATTTGCTCTTGGCCATGGTTCTCTTCAGGTACACCCACTGAAGACAAAGATTTGTTCAAATTTAAATCTAATTTAAATCAAAAGAAAAAAAGAATTTTCATTTATTTAATTTTGTTTATTCGGCATTAAATTATGTCACTTAGCATTTTCCATAGTTTACCTTGACTTTCTGGGGAAGAAACGTGTTGGTAGAATAAAGTTTTCCAGCATACATGTGTGCAGACAGTTCCTGGTTAAAACAAATCGTACATCACCAAAAATCACTATGGATTTATATATAATCTCATGCACACACATACAAAGCAGTATTATGCAAGAATTCAAATGTCCAAGGAAACAGCGAACACCTTGTTACCTTTCTTCATTTAAAATAAAAAAAAAAAAAAAAACAACAAAACATCATTAACAAATTTCAATGTTTTTAAACTACAGGGTGATATGAAAGTCTTGTCACCTCTATGAAAAAGTAACAAGATAAGAACAATACAAAGCACATGTACTGGATTTAGTTTATTCACTTTCATTGATGTTGACACACCTCAAAGTCTGTATGAACACCATCATTTTCGTAGCACAAAATGATGTGACTCCATGTCCTGTGTAATATTTTACGAAGCCGTGCTTTGTTGACTGCTGCAAAGGCACTCCAAACAGTGTCCTTCAATTGATGGTTATTCGGTATCATTCATGTGAAACTCCTTCATGTGTACTCCAGTGTTGAAATAGAAAATTATATCATGTAGGGGGGACAAGACTTTCAGACCACCCTGTACTACCAATTTCTTTTAAACCATATTTTGTCCTTAAATCTAAATTAAAAAAAAAAAAAAAAAATTGCCCTCTTTTGTTTCCACCCAGAACAAGGCTCAAGAGTCACTCAATGTAGAGAATTACTGAATGTGATTGTTGTATGAACATAAAGAAGTCAAGACTTTAGTGATTGGGGTATTACAGTGTAACCCGGATATAAGAGAGATTTTCTCTGGTCCCAAATTAGCTATTTAGTGCTAGAAAGAATAATGCTTTCCTGTACACTGAGTACTAATATTAGCATTAGTGTAGCCATTGATACACTGAATGTGAATATAGAAAGACAAGAGATACATGCCCGTAACAAACAAAACATTTAATAAGGCAAATAATTTACCTACGCATATTAAAAGATTTACACATGTCCCAAAATAAATGATTGTTCATACTGTCTAAAGGCCGAGAATGTTTAACAGAACAACAAACAAAGAAATAATATACCAGCCTTATGGCCTCTGACCATCCATAGGTGAATTAAAATTACTTTTTTTTTCTCTATGTTAGGCTGTGCACATGTTGTCTGTTTTCCACGTGTGTGGATGACCTGATGGTTCGGAAGGTATTAACCATTCTCCAAATGGAAGCAAAAAAAAAAAAAAAAAAAAAAAAAGAGTTCTCCTCTCTAAAGGGTCTGACCTCCCATGTGCTCAACCCAAAGGAAAGCAACTGTTGTCTCCCTTCAGGGGAATTAAGCACTCTGGAGTCTATGACACAAAGCAGCGATTCTTGGAAAGAAGCTGTCCAAATGGAACATCCTTCATACTAATGAAATATGAAGAAGATTCGTTCCTGGGGATGTGGCAAGGTTAGGGTCTTAGTTGTGAACATCTCAACTAGTGGAACTAATGAATGTAGCATGACAGAACATTTGCCATGGAAACAATGATAGTGTAGTGAGTTGTTTGGAATGTTTCATCTGTGAGAAACATTGTAGGGTGGAAAATAATTCTCCACCCACAACGCCACACCAATGCTTTTGAACTCGAGCCTGGAGAGTGAAAACCAGGTAGCTCCAGTGCAGGTATAATGGTAATACTTTTCGGTTTAATCTGGCTCTTGTAAAAAAAATGAAAGGCAGAGTCAGGTACTTTTTGGAGCAGTTCAAAGAACTGACCATTTTACCAGCATCTTTAGCAAGGAATTGTGTATACGAGTTCCACTTGAGGTCTGGGGGGTGATCATGACTCCAAATAGACACTATGATATACACATTCCACCCCGACATGAGAAAAAAAAAAAAAAAAAAACTCAGCCAAGATTGTTCCCTGGAATAACTGTTGAGATGCTTCCTTAAAGAAAAGTATGTTCTTCAGGACATGAGTGATCATGGCTCTCCACAACTTCCTGCCTTTTGTAAGGTTTGTCTTTTTTTGCTATCTCTTCTAATCCCTGTTCTGCCAACCATTTACACAAGTTCATTTGGTTTATTCATTGCTTTCCTTTGTCTTGTGAGTGACAAGTTCTTCGTCCTTTCCTCATTATCTACTCAAGAAATTACATCTTTCTAATTAGAAGTATAAATGTCCTTTTTACTTCCATTTTCCTTAAAACATTGCTCAGATATTCACAATCCATGGTATTCTCAATATACTTCTATAGAATCAAATTTCTGTTGCTTCAGATCTCTTCTTCATCTGTGATGAGATTGTCCAACATTCACTGCCATTATAGGACCACCACTATTATACAACAGTTCAATACTCTTCTTTGTTTCTAATGATATTTTCCTGTTTCTTAATACTTGATTAGCTTTTGGAAGGTATCTTGTTATTCTGATGCACCTTTGAATTTCGGCGTTGCAGTATGCATTACATGACAGAAAATACGGTAAATTTTGTAACTCACTTTCCTCTCATTTAAAGAGACCAACAAAATTCTATTTTTGGACAGATATTTGCATTGAACAACTTCAAGAAATAGAAGGAAATATATTAAGGAACAGAAGTCTTTTTTTTTTTTTTTTCTTCTTCAGTAACACCCAATATTCTATTTTAGATAGGTGTATTGATATCAAATCACCTCAAGTATTATTGTCAAAGAAATGGATAAAACAAAGTCAAGACAGTGAATATATCTTTATTTACAATGGTTATCAAATGATGATGTAACAATTTATCAGACAGGAGTGTAGAGAGTATGTAAATATTTCTATTCTGAGTAGAACCAGATATTGAACTCAAAAATGAAGCAAAGAGGAAACTGAAGAGACTGCAGTGTCAACAGGACTAATTACTAGGAAGGAACAAATTTAAACAAAGTCCAAAGAATTACTTTTGGTGTGTGTGTGTGCGCGCATATATATATATATATATATATATATATATATATATATATATATAAAGAAACCATACGAATTCCTATGGATCATCTACACATCAAAGTTTCATTACGATAATTTGTGTTTTGAGTAGACATGGAGGTTTAAAAATGTTCTGGTTGTTAAATTAATGAATGAAACTCATTGTGGGAATAGTTAAATGGTCATTTGGTTTTAATCTAACAGCAGTATTTTCTTCGTACTAGTTCTGTATAATGGAAAAAAATACGAGTTCGACTTAAACTTGTAAAAGTAGGCCGTACTTCAGAATAAAAGTAAGTGAAATCTAATTCTAGAAGACTTAAAATTAAAATGCAATAAAAATAAATTTTTTTTTTTTTTTTTGATAAAATTAGAAAAAAAAAAAATAAATAAAAAAGAAAAACATGATAAACTAGTAAGAAGAGAGCATTTTGAAATTTAGGAACTTAAAAAAAAAAAAGAGTGAAATTAAGAATAGAAGCTTGTAAATAATAAATGAAATTATTTGCAGTTTTTTTTTTTTGAAGACTTTCACTCTTGTTAAATTGACAAGAATTGTTGGCCACAAAAGATATGGACTGAGAGAAAAGTTATTTGACACAAATCTTCAATGGTGCACATATGACTGTAGCCTCCTCAGATAAGATCAGCAACTGAAAGAAGAAGAAAATGTTTCAGATTATAACAGAAAATATTTCAAATCTTTAAAAATTTATTAATGACAATTATATTCAATAAATCCATCATTGATTATATGCTCATTTTTTTACTGCCTATGGACCCAGATATCGAATGTATATAGTAAGCATGGCATTGAAAACTGAATTGAATATATAAAATCTATAAATTTACATGGATAAAAAGATTAAAACAAACAGGAAAAGTAAAAAATAGAACCCCCCACCCACAAACGAAAAAAAAAAAAAATTACAAAAAAGGCCCCCAACCCAAGAGTGTGTGTGTGTGTGTAAAAAAAAAAAAAAAAAGTGAAAATTAAAAACACTGACAATTAATATTTTTTTGTCCATCAATTCAGGGAGGGGATAATTTTAGCAATCATTCCAGACATTTGAACCTACAGTCTATTTGCTTTTATTATGATGGAAGTTACAGAGAAACCTGTAGAAAAGTCTACTGTTCATCATTATTAGATATGATAATTAGTTATTACTAAAAAAATATAAATAGAAAAAAAATATACTAGTTTTTACCAGTGGAAATATTAATTTCTCAGATGAGATGAAAAAAAAAAAAAAAAAAAATAATTTAGATTTTGTTATTTGAAATGGGTTTAACACATCAATATTATTTGATTACAAAATAGACAAACAAAAATCTTTGTATACAAAAGCTAATTTTACCCAGATATTTCAACAGATATTTTACCCAGATATTTCAATATATATTTTCAATATATATTGGTGTATTGGTATGCCACCTTCCTGTTTGCCACAAGCTCAGAGGTTCAAATCAGTGCAGAGTTCACTTTTATATGCATGTTTGCTTTTTTTAGCATACCAGTAGTTGTAGTTAAAGAAACAGAGAAAGTTACTGTTTGCATCATAATTATTCTAATTAAACTAGAACCGAATGAGGAAAAAAGGTTCGAGGAAACTTACCATTCATTGGCATTTCATCAATCTGAGTAGAATAGTACTGTTCAATATCTCGCAAGATTCGGATGTCATCGTTTTTCACAAAGTTAATGGCTACACCCTTTCGGCCAAATCTTCCCGATCGACCAATTCTTAAAAAAAAGAAAAGAACAAATAAATTAATATCTAAGGAAGTTTAGCAAGAATGAATTTGGACAGGCAGCTGTAGCAATTTATTTAGAACTAATATACATGTACTAACCTGTGAATATACAACTCACGATTGTTTGGTAAATCGTAATTTATAACCAGAGATACTTGCTGGACATCGATACCACGGGCCCAGACATCGGTGGTAATGAGGACTCGGCTGGAAAAAAGAAAGAAGAAAAAAAAAAAATAAAAATAAAAAAAAACTAATATATATTGCTTCAGTTTTATGTACAATATTTATTTTTATAACAAACAGGAATATCAGGTGCTGCCTGAGAAAAGGAATGACTTCAAATATAAAGCAGGAAATCATTTAGAAATTTTGTTCAGAAAGACTTCTCATAGTTACATGTTTTCCACCCAAAAGAAAGAAAAGGAAAAAAAAAGAAAGAAAAGGAAAAAAAAAGAAAGAAAGAAAAAAAAAAAAAAAAAGAAAGAAAAAAAGAAAAAAAAAAAAGAAAAGGAAAAAAAAAAAAAAAAAAAGGAAAGAAAAGGAAAAAAAAAAAAAGAAAAGGAAAAAAAAAAAAAAGAAAAAAAAAAAAAGAAAAGGAAAAAAAAAGAAAGAAAAGGAAAAAAAAAAAAGAAAAGGAAAAAAAAAAAAAGAAAGAAAAGGAAAAAAAAAAAAAAAGAAAAGGAAAAAAAAAGAAAAAAAAGGAAAAAAAAGAAAGAAAAGGAAAAAAAAAAGAAAGAAAAGGAAAAAAAAAGAAAGAAAAGGGAAAAAATAAGAAAGAAAAGGAAAAAAAAGAAAGAAAGAAAAGAAAAAAAAAGAAAGAAAGAAAAGAAAAAAAAAGAAAGAAAGAAAAGAAAAAAAAAGAAAGAAAGAAAAGAAAAAAAAAGAAAATGAAAAAGAGTACCATACATGAAAGCTCATTAGAAGAGATCTGAAGTCTCGCCTTGGAGGAACACATCCATCATTGACCATGTCTTTAGGTGTGCAGCTATACTCACCACACTTGGCCAGATGTGGATTGGTGGGGCTATTTAACACACAGTTGGTAGTTTTGAATTCAGTTGCCCTTCTCCTAAGTTAGTAGCCCCCAGAAGTGATAGGACCCTGTCTGTCCTGCTATTTACCTATATCTGAGGGGTTTGAGATGAATTCACACCTTTCCCCAAGAGTATTTGCACATTAAGAATGAAATCTCAACTGGAATTTGAACTTTGCTCTCAGATTCCTTAATCCAAGCTGCTACCCATTAAACCACTGTGACTCTGCAAGACTTCCAAAAAAAAAAAAAATCTTTTTTTTATTTTTTTTATAGTCCTCTAAATTCTTTTATTAGGCTAGAGAAAAAAAAATAAAAATAAAAAAAAAGGAAGGAAGGAAATTGCCAAGCCATGCGTATATTGGGAGGAATGTTATTTTCCCATTAAATTGACCTCTGATGACCTCCAATGAGATACTGAGTATCACCTACCCTATCATATTTTTTTCTTCTGCCCAAGTTACTTCAATGTCACTAGTGCCTTCCAAGATCATAATTGGTTGCAATATAGATCAGAAAGGTCACTAATTCTACCTTCAATGCCTTCCATCCACCTTGAAGCTCAAACCCGACATCTGCTCTGCCATTTAAGAGATTAAAAAATAAGCCATCTTTGGACTTGTAAGAAAAGCAATTTTTCATCATTTAATGTAAAATTTGAACATTTCTAAAGCCAATGTTTACTTTCATCAAACAATTAGAATGGGGCTGGCCTTTGAAGAGAATAAAGAAATAATTACATTTAACCAGATAACTCATAGCATCAAAATAAAGGACTCTTCAACATGGTATAATGATTAGCAAGCTTGTCTCACTAGATCAATTACAACTGAATAGAGAGTTTAATCCTCACTGAGTACCCCATACTTTCAGTCTTTTGCCACATCTAAGCTATGCTTAGAAAATATTATAGCATCAAAAGCAAGCACTTTAAGATTTGTATATTGCATCACTAAAACCATTATTATCTAAAAAAAAAAAAAAAATCTTAAAATGCAGAAGTATTTTCTGACTTTAAAAAACCTGAAAAGGGTTGAGGAGCCATAGAAAATAAATCAATGAAATACTGATTAGCTACACAGGCATGTCTTTTAAATTCATTTATATTCTCAGGAATATAAATGTATGGAAACTACCATGGCCATAAAGTGAGAGATTAATTTATACATTGATTGTAATATAGAAACAATCCCCCACTCAATATCACCCCCGTTAATTAGTAAGACTTGTATCATTAAACCATTATTATCTCAAAAAATTCTACAATCTCAAACTATTTTCTGGCTTTAAATAACCTGCAGAAAATGAATGAAGCAATCAATTGATCACCCCAGCTATAGGACATGTATCCAGAAAACTCATTGTTATTCTCTAATTTGTCTACGCAAGATTCAATTGAAAAAAAAAAAAAAAAAAAAATCTTACAATCCAAAATATGTTCCAGTTTTAAATAACTCACATAAGATCTAAAAGCAAATCAATCACCCAACCAGAGTTAAAAATCTACCCCCCTCCCCCCCACAAAATATAATAAAACTGGCAGGTGAAGATGACATGATGAAAAATATTTAGTTTCATAATTCTTCAACTGAATTCCGAAAAGAAAAACAGTAGAGTTGCTTAATCAATCATCTGTTCAATGGAACAATGCTGAGTTTCGCATCACTTGTAGTCGTGTGCAAAAACAAACATTGTTTAGGCTTTTTTCTTTTTATAAAACCTCAGTTGTCTTAAGATTGCAATAGAATAAACCAAAACTTAAAAAAATAAAAAAACACACACAACTATATATAATATATATATATATATATATATATATATATATATATATATATATACACACACACACACAAGCATATGATTGGTGTATACGGAATGAATTCTAATAACCAACAATAACGGCAGTGTTGAAACAAAATGGCTATTTTTGTAGTGATTTTATAACATATTTATGTTATAAATTTTTTTTTTAAATAAATAATTATATATATACACACACACACACACATAGAGATCATAAACTCAAGTATCAAACAGTATAATTATTAAATGTATTATTTATTTATTTATATATTTTCTGTCCTATCTGTAGTGGGAAGGGAGATAAATCAACTTCAGTAAATTTATGAGTTATTAATCTCCTTAGTCATAATAATAATCTATATAAATAAAATATTTATCTGCATTTAGACAAAATTTCTTCCCAAACAAAATGACCTATGAATTATATCAGTTGCTTTACTTCTACATTTCTTAGATGGCAGTCTTATTTCTTCAAGCCTTTCATGTGAGGCACTCAGATATCTTTCTCTATTAAATGATTGCCTTGCTTCAACTTGGTCTTGTAATTACCTTTGTTGTCGCCATCTTTGTTGTTCCATTCCTAATCTTTTTCTTCCGAGAGTTATTTCCATTTCACTGTTATATTAAACACACAAAATTTTTAACATGAAAAGATATTGAGCAAAAAGAGATTTATATAATACCAGAAATAATAATTGAATCAAATACCATTGAATGTCTAAAAAAATATATAATAAAAGGAAATGGATGAATTAAACAGTTCAATGGCATCATTTTAATTGTGAATTCTTTATCTCCGCTTCATTGAATCTCAATACATTGTTTCAAGCATCTCACTATTGAAACTTTCTAACAATTGCAATCATTTTTGACAGGACAGATACACTAGTAATTAAATAAAACTGAAAAATGGCCAAGAAAGCAATATTTGATTTATTTTCCATTTTTTTAAATTTGAAGGGTAAGATATGAATTACTTAAAATTAAAGAGACAGAGACAGACAGAGAGAGAGAGAGAAAAAGAAAGAGAAAGAAAAACTTTCCCCAGAGCCTTATCTTTAAAAATGTGTAAAAACTCAATGATTTCTCAATTGTATTGCAAAATTAAATCACCAAATTAAATAAGGTGGAGAACAGAATCACACACAGAGAGGGTGAGCTAAAAGTAGGCTTACAGTGGTTTCATGACAAGAGCTAGCTTTGCCAAACTGTTCTTTTAGCAAGATGGAACCCCTTGCCATTATACTTTGGCAGTAAAGGACTACCTTAACCGAAACTTTCCACAACATTGATTCAAAAGAAAGGGCATTTCTTTTTTGTAGTAAAGAACAAGGTTCATGAGAGAAATCTCCCACCCAGTGGACAAATTAAATGAGTACATCTCGGAAGTATTTATTGAAATTGATGCAGATCAGGATTTGTGTCATGCTGTGTGTCAGTGTTCTGTAATGTTGTAGGAGGACATTTTGAGCACTTAAGAGAGTAAACTGGGCTAAAAAATGTAAGTAAAGTGTTAAACAAATGTACATAAACAGTTTTGAACAAACATTATTCTAACAAAAAAAAAATAAACGTAATAAAATGCTTAAAAAAAAAAAAAAAGTAAACTGGTAACCTACTAAATGTAAGCCTACTTTTGGCCCCCCCTGTATAGTGTATTTGGGTAGCAACCCCTCATTTATACAAGTCTCATTGAAGACTACTTGTTTAGTTAAAAAAAAAAAAAAAAAAAAAGATAAAAATAAGGGAAACAGTAATAAAAAAGCCAACACAATGTCAATTAAGAACACAACCACAACGTGCTGATTGTTTTTGAAGAGAAGAAAAAAAAACAAGCAAAAAGAAACATTCCCATCACTATAGATATAAACAAATAAAAACGTACATATTCAGAAAAAAAAACATCCTTGATAATGGCTAATAGAATAGCCAAAAGCACTCGGACATATAAAACATTTGGACAGTTTTCACATACTATGTCAAAAAAAAAAAAAAAAAAAAAAAAGCTTAATTGCAATACATTTGTCAATTGTCTTTCATGAAATGTGTGTGTATGTATATAGCGTAAATGGGAGCCCCGGGGTGGTGCACTGAGACCCCTGCTATCAACATTTTACTCCCCCCACTACCTACATGACTATTAAAGGGTGAAAATTTTTTGTGGATTTTTGTGTAATTCCGTTTTTTTTTTTTTTTGTCCAAATCTGAACTTGTCTTGCATAAGCTAAGCTTAAGGGAAGAAGAAGAAGAGGAAAAAAAAAAAAAAAAAAAAAAAAAAACAAAAAAAAAAAAAAAAAAAAACACAATATAAAATTATTTTTTATCCATAATGTTGACAGTGTTAAAATTATTCAAGTTTTTAATAAGTTGATATTAAAAATTGCCAAAAAAACATTAAGATGGAATGATATATTATAAAAATGTCTAATTTGTATTTAGATATACACTGTATTTATTTTCAATCTTTCTAGTTGAATTGTTCACCTATAGTGCATATAATCCATTATTGTACATAATTAGGTTACAATAAAAATTGCATTTTATATGAATAGTACCTTTTCTTTTTTTTTTTATTCAAATCCAATATTGTATTTTTGGTAGAGTTTTATGCACTTGATTTTTGAAGTTGATAAAGCATTATTTAGTATTTTCTCTTCCTTTAAGGGCATCCATACCTCCTACAACCACAGGAAGGTAGGTAGATATAACTATCTAATTAATTATATAGACATTTTTTGTCTATTATGCAGAGTAAATGGGGTGGAAGTGGGGGATAACCATATACCTAGATTTGTTGCTACTTTAATCTTTTTAATGCAATAAATTTTTACCTTGCCCCTGATCTGAACTCTTTCATAATATTGTCTCTGTCTTTTTGGGGCATGTCACCGTGCATGGAAGAAACAGTAAAATTGGCTTCACGCATCTTTTCTGTTAACCAATCCACCTGAAAAGACAAAACAAAATTATTTTAACATTGAAATTATTTCTCTCTCTCTCTCTTTTGTTCATTCTCACAACCTTTTTTCAAATGAAATCTACAGACCATAATCCTTTAGCATTCAGCATGCTCAAACTCACCTCGTAAATATCAGCACTCAAATTTTCACTGCTTTAGAGACTTCCTGTGTTATTTACGATGACAACACCTTATATTATGGCAGAGTATATGTACATGGGTCAGGTTAAAACGGGCTGAACATTGAAAGCCAATATATAAATATATATGAGAAAATGACCGTGTACAACTGTCTCTATGCACAGTTCACACCTGGCAGCCAGAAGACCCAAATCAATGAGTATGGGTGTATGCCTACATGTGTGTGTGAGTGCATGTGAGCATGTTTGACAGTAAAAACAGCTGACCTGAAAAAAATGTCAAATGGTGCCACCCCTGCTAAGAAGACATTGCTAGATTTCTGAAATGCTACAATCTTGACACCGACATGGGCGGCGTACGAAAATGTGACTGCGCCTACCCAAGATTATGAATACAAGTGTGTATATATGAACTAACATGTATGTGTGTGTGTGTCTCTATGTATACGTATGTGTCATCCCAAACTAACACAGAACGAGAAAATTTCCTCCTCCCAAATAAACAAACAGAAATAAAGCATAAATAGATCTACTTTTAATTAAAAAAAAAAGAAAAAAAGGTTGGCTGAAGATTGCAAAAGTGTGAAATCTAAGGTCACAAACAACTCTTCATGTAACCAAACATGTGTGTATCTGGAGGTTGGACAATCACAGCCTGCAACACCTTTGGTAAGTGCCTGAAAACCATACCACGGGTTGACCCAAGCCTTGTGAGTGAAATTGGGCAGACATAACACTTGTGGGCCATTGATAGCTGTGCTAGCATGAAGTAACAAGTCATCGTGACTGAGGGTTTGAGTGTGCTGGTCTTGTTCAAATTGTTGATCACACTAGAAAACTGTAACTAAGGTCTGCTCAGCATAGTTGGAATATAAACAACAGGTGGGCTCTGAGTGTTGAACAAACAAATGTGCCCGAGCGAGCGTCTGCAAGAGGGATAGGATAGCTGCCCTAGTAGACGGGCATCCTCAAATATGAGTGGCCAGCTATTTTTATATATACATATATAAAAAAAAAAAAAAAAAAAAAAAAAAAACTATATCCCCTTATTTAACTTTTATCTTACAATACCTCATTTTCAATTTTCATTGATACCTTATTTTAAAAATGAATTAAAAGTTTAGAAAGTTTATTTTTGGTTTTGTGGAAAAAAAAAAAAAAAAAAAATGCAGCCTTAGAAAAAAATTTTAAAATTTATCAATTTAATATCTAAAAGTTAAACAAAAATTTAGTCTTGCTTTTTTTTTTTAATGTGCATGCATATAAAATGACCACAACAATTTTACAGTTAATTTATGGATACTAGTTACATTTCATCAACTGCATTTTCCAAATATCACCACCCCCTTTTAAAAGATCTTACAAATGATACAAGCAGACTTATTTGTTTGTCTTTTTCATTATCATGTTTAAAACAGTAATTACAAATATTACTAATTATTTTTATAGTTATGAGGTTTTACTATTTAGAGGAAACTTTGCTCTCAACACTGAAGTGAAATTCAGATCAATGTCTCACACTCTGTGATTGATCTAAAATGCAGAACATAAAATGATCAGCAGCACTTTGTAACAAACACTTTTAAATGGCAATTCCTAATAGAACAAAAAAAAGAAATTAAAGGATTCTTGTTACCTTTCTTTTGGTATTGCAGAAGATGACAGCTTGGGTGATTGTAAGCGTATCATAAAGATCACAAAGTGTGTCAAATTTCCATTCTTCTCTCTCTACAGCCACAAAGAATTGTTTGATCCCCTCTAATGTCAATTCATCACTAGTAGATAAAAAAGAAAAATAATAAAATAAATGAAAGATGCATCAAGAAAAAAATAGAATCTAAAAAACAAGAGAAATTGAGCTTTTGATGACATTAAAAAATAGATATTAGGAAAACATTGAAAATGTTACTCTGAACGTTAAATTTTTAACTATGTAGATTTTATAAAAATGACAACACAAAAAACTATTTTAACAATTTCCCAAATTTCATGATTTACTGAAATCATACTTGGTATGGTGTAATATATTTGGCAATATGGCTTTAATAAAATGTGACATGATGAATAAGTGCCACTCCTCCAACTGGAAGACAGATCCTCCATAGAAAATGGGCAGTCATCCATTGACAAAAGGTAAACTTGCAAATACAGAGATACCTTTGGCATAATGGTAAGACATGAGCCAGATGAAGACACCATTGCTATTATTTCTGCTGCACTTTGTATTAATTAGGCCTGGGAACTGACTAAGGTCTGTGAAATTCAAGTAACCAATATATATATATATAAGTTTCTTTAAGAAGGAAAAATAGTAAAAACATGGAGGAAAGAGAGAGAGTTACAAGGTAAAAATAAATTAAACTGACAGTTAGATAGGCTTTGAAAAGATCATAAATCAAACTCCAAATTAACCTCCCAAACCCAAGCAAACCAAATCTCAACCCCTTCTCACCAAATGGGCTGGTGAGGAAAAGAAGTCATTTTCTGAAAGATCTACATGACCATCCAACCCACTTAAGAGAGGGTAATGTTATATATAGAAAATACTTTTGGAAATATTTATTTCCTGTGAGATAAATAAAATATCTGTAAGTTTAAGTTTGGAAAGAGGGAAAAAAAAAAATTGTTTTGAAATGGTGTTATGATTTTAAGATCATATAACTCTTGGATTAATAATCAAAAAATTAATAATTTATTTTTGGTATCAACACATGTGGATGTGAAATTTTGCAGGCACCAGTGAATTTTAGCATAAGCAATAAAGGAATTTTATTTTCAAATTAGAAAATGCATTTGAGTCACAAGATTGCAAAGAGATTCAGAACAAAGACCTTCTTAGGAAGAAGCAATTAATAGAGTAATTTTGCCTTGTCCCTCAAGTAACAGAAATTATTGTATAAGAAATACCATTATTGCAGTCAAATACTTCGGATTAAGCCGTGTATAAAAAGAGTGACTTTTTGCACCTTTTCAGGCTAAAGTTTTCTGCTGACATGAAGTGGAAAAATTATATTGAATCCATTGCTAAGTCTGCTGCTAGGAAAGTTGGTTCACTGTGTTTTGCTAGAGAATTTTTCTTGCCAGAATCTATCTTACACATTTTTAAGTTGACCATTCGTCCATGCATTGAATATTGCTGTCACATCAGGTCTGGTGTTTCTCTTATGCATTTAGAAATTCTTGATAAAATCCAAAAAAGAACCTGCAGTGTTACTGGTCCTGACTTGGCATCACTGCTTCAGTCACTTTCCCCACCGCCATAATGTAATTTTCCTTTGCCTTTTTTATAAATATTTTCATGGTAATTGATGAGCTTTCCTCTTTGGTGTCTTGACTTTACAAATTTAAGTGCAGTACCAGATTGGCTCATAGTTCTCATCATTTTACAGATAGCAGTGCACCTGAATTAGAGTAGACTTCCAGTAACAATGACTCCCACCCCCAACAGTTTATACTTGGCATAAGCTCATGGCTTTGCAGAAGTTTCAACCAGCTCTGCTGACAAACTTCCCCAGATTTCAAGCACTAAAAACACGAGGATTGGCAAGGTGTATTTGAACTCAGTGGAAAAAAAGAAAAAAAAAAAAAAAAAAAATTAAACTTCAAGTATTGACCATAACCCCCCCAATCTGTAACACTAAAATAATGTAAATTAATTTCCACAAAGATTATGATCCCCCAAACTATTCATCATACAATATGAATGGTGAATACTTCTGAGACTCCAACCAAAAATCATAAATAAAAGAGGTCAATTGAAATTGTGTTTTCAGAAAGTGGGCCTAGGTGAGAACTTTTCAGCACCCCCTGAACAATTGCATCTGAAGTTGAAAAAAGAAGAATGATGAAGGAACAGGAGGACCATGAACAGATATATCTGAAAATGCAACTTCCATGAACGTTGTTAAAGATGATAACTTTAGCAAGCAAATGTTGACTTCTTTTGAGAGACCCAATAAGAAAATGAAAATTTCCTTTAAACTTGGTTTTCTAAAAGTAATAATTTTATATTCATACAAATAGATACATGTAATTCCAATATGTGCGGATCATATATATATATATATATATATATATATAGTCAATGCTAAATAAATGAACCTAGTGAATAGTTTGTTTTTGATTTATTAGACATAGATATAATGGGTCAGAATACAAATTGTGGTTCTTGCTGTGGGTTGCAGTAAAAAGAGTTTGAAAAACATTGCTCTAGATCAGCGTTTCTCAAACGGGGCTCCCTGGTACCCTAAGGTTCCGTGAGAACAGGTGAGATAAGCTAATGCACATTTGACTTTTTATTTAATTTCATATACGTAATATTACAATGAAATACACAATATACAATGAAAATGAGAAAGATATGGTATATAATTTTGCTTTTGTGTAGGGGTTCCTTGAAACATGTAATTTCTTTTAAGAGTTACGCAAGGGTAAAAAGGTTGAGATATGCTGGGTTAGAATGAAAGAAAAACTGTATGCAAGGAAAAATGCCTCGGGATATCTAAGGATAAGTGGGGACCATAAATCAAATTAAATTACCTTACTACCTCAATGTCCAGATTACTAAATACACACAATATATTCTTGGTTATTGTAATACTGTAATATAGACTATGATATTTACCACTTGAACTACAATGAAAATAAAATGAGAAAGATATGGTATATAATTTTGTTTTTGTGCAGGGGTTCCTTGAGAGATGTATTTTAAGGGTTAAGCAAGGGTAAAAAGGTTGAGAAACTCTACTCTAGATTGATAATCAAATTTGTTATGTAAAAAAATCTTCAAAAATTAAGAAAAATTGTGCAGTGCGATGTAGATTAATATGTTTTACATATTGTAAACTCACCGTTTGACAAGAATGCGCACTGGGTCAGTCATGAATTTACCAGTCATTTCCAAAATCTCATGTGGAAGTGTAGCAGAGATTAGTAAAACTTGTGTTGCTGGCGGCAAGTAACGGTAAACATCATAAATCTGTTCTTTAAAACCTTTGTTCAACATTTCATCCGATTCATCAAGAACTAACATCTTAATAGATCTGGTCCGTAAATTCCTTCGGCGGATCATATCTAGAAAATTTGAATAGAATAGAGATGGAAGAAAATAAGAAAGGAAAAAAAAAAAAAAAAAAAAAAAAAAAAACAGTAAATTTTAATTGGAGTCCTGTCCAAAATATTTACATACAGATAAACAATAAATAAACTGAAGAGCCCCAAAATTTACATGCAACTGATTTAATAATGTGTATCTCTTCTCTTGCCTGAATAACCAGGGCTGTGGAGTCAGAACACAAAAACCTTTGATGCCAACTCCTCTATATTTGGCACCTCTGACTCCGACTCCTCTTTTAAGTAATTAAGTGATTATGGCCTACAAATCTCAAAGCCTATATATATATATATATATATATATATATATATATCTTTGCAAATAAGAAATAAGTACAGAACAAAAATAAAACTACTTTATAACAGAAGTTGAAATATTTGTTTACAGTATGTAAAAGACATAATAAAAATTCTATAATGTAAGATTTTTACACATATATAGTTTTGCAAATACAAAATAACTACAAAAAAATAAATAAATAATCTTAAAAAAGTTGAGATGAATTTCTTTAAAAGGAAATAGTAAATATACAGTAGAAGAAATAATAAAAATAAAAAAATTCCATAATGCAAGATTTTTTTTACATAAAGCCTAAATTCAACTGAGTTGGTATAGTTTTAGTGATCCCTTAATTGCTTCCGACTCGACAGCCCTGTGAATAACGGTAACTATGCTATGTAGCATGGAGTCTACGAGGTTCTGGCACCATTATAGAAATATATCTATCTAGACATGATCTTCAGTTCTCTATTACTAAGTTTGTTCTGCTTGTATTTCTGGAATGAGGCATTATCATTTACACAAAGACAACAAAAATGAGAACAATAATTTGCATGTAAATAAGGTAAATACTAAGTTCCTTGTTGGGTACAGCTGCAGGGGATCTCATAATGTCTGCAACATGCTCCAGATATGCTCAACAAAGTGCCCATGAAAGAAGTTTCAAGTCACTCATACAGAGTGAGGTGGACAGTGCTATCTTGTGAGGAAAGTGTCTATTATCAATAAGAAACACAGCAAGCATAGAAGAGTACAAAATGGTCTGTGTTATGTCACCGACTCCAATTTCATTCATGGCCTCTTCAAAATTCAGCAGCAGCCCCACCCCCAATCTACTTGGTATATCCTTTGACACTGCTGCCAGAGAAAACTTATAGCAAGTTCCACTTCAGGGATTGCGTGTCCCATCTTTCTGGAGGTTACCCAGGTTGATATACACCTGAAGAAGGCCAAAGGGCACAACAGTCAAAATGATGCGATAGCAACACCAACGATGAAGACAATAGTCTGCATGCAAATAGTATTAATATACACTTAATGCTATCAAAATGAAGTCAGAGTATGAGAATAGCAAAATTATAAATTACAAGTGCAAAATTTAGTTTTTTTATATATATATATATATATATATATATATATATATATATAAGTTATGTGCCATGCATGATACATGCTTAGGCAATCATGCATCTTTTGATACATGACTGACAAGGCAGACTCCCCCCCCTCTGCAGTAGGTTGCAATTTCTTTCTATGGTAGACCAGTTGCCATCCAAGGCTATAGACCCAGTCTGTCCTATTATTTACCTATAGCTGGGGGGGGGGGGGATTCATACCTTTCCCAATGGTATTAGAACGCAAGTGAATTTAAATACAAATATATTTAAGTTAAAAGAAAGAAAAAAAAAAAAGTTACCAATAAGCAATATTTACATAAAAAATGACAAGTTATATTAAATAAATAAACAAACAAAAATGAAATCTTTACCAAAGACACGGCCTGGAGTACCCGAAACAACATGCTGACCATAATCAAGTTTGCGAATATCTTCTCCAATATTGGTCCCGCCAATACAAGCATGGCATTGCACATTCATGTAATCACCAAGGGCCAAAATAACCTAAATGACATAAAATTAGTTTACAAACATCATATATTATATAAACGCTTCAATGATAAAAAGATTGCAGAAACAAGAAGCAGAAAAGAAAGATGTTTTCACTCTAAAATATACAGTAAATTAAAATTTTAGTCTTTTAGTGTATTTCAAAAGAATTAAACTTTCATCTGCAAGAATATTACAAATATCCAAGTTCAAATTGAAACTTGAATGTTGAGAAAGTAAGACATAAAAAGAAGTCAAATTTACTTTACGGAATTTTAAATAAATGGCAAGAGTTTAGAAAAAAATGTCTTAATGCATAATTTGTAGCAAAATATGCTCTTTAACTAAATACACAGATTTTCAAAATACAGTAATACCTTGAGATACAAACGTCCCAACATACAAGTTTTTTGAAATACAAGTTGGACAATATTTTGCCTTTAGATACTAGATGAATTTTGAGATATGAGCAAGTTTCAGTTAAGCATCAGTAGTAAATGCATTCAACTCTGCTCTGGAAGGATATCTTGTGTTTTGTTGTATCTTTTTTGCCATAATTTTGAAAAATTCATTCACTGATACCATAGGCCCAAAGAAAGTGTAAAGAGCATCAATGAATTTTTAGAGGTCTAGAACAGATCAGAAATATTTCCATTAATTTTATTGGGGGAAAATTGATTTGATATAAGAGTCTTTTGAGTTACAAGTTTGATCTTGGAACAAATTAAACTTATATCTCAAGGCATTACTGTATACAGAAATTATTCATTATGTTACCTTTTGGATTTGAACAGCTAATTCACGTGTTGGAGAAAGGACCAAGGCTTGTGTCTCTCGTATTTGGGTATCCAGGCATTGGAGAATGGACAGAGCGAATGTAGCTGTTTTACCAGTACCAGACTGGGCTCTACAGAAAGTAAAGATCAAATTTGTATCATAGCAACAAATTTTATATATATATATATAATATATATAAAATCTAAAGAAAACCAGACAACTTTAAGGCTCCATAAGGTTATAATTTATTTCTCCAAGGATCTTCTTCCTTGGATCATCAGACCTAACTTCCAAGTATGAAAAAATGAATTTAAATTGACATTTTTGGAGGGTAGTATTCAGCTGGTGTAAGGTGATATAGAGAGGGGTGAGAGATAGTGTAAGAGACGTGGTTGAAATTAGAGAGGGAAGGGATTTTATTTCCACAGGGATCTTCTTGCTCCCTGGATCATCAGACCTCACTTCCAAGTATGCTCCTTGGGATTATCCATATGGATTACCAAGATATTCATTACTCAACTATATATATATATATCTATCACAGCTGTTTGAGGTTTCCTACAGACCCACTGAACTTAAATAAAGTCAATTCAGGTTTCCTATGGTAAAAGTTTTCTTTCCCAAGTGAAAATCATCACAAAAATAGCAAAAGTCATTTTGTCACAGCTTATTTTCTCTCAAAATATGGGTTTTCATACTTTTTTAGGGGTAAAATATTGAAAAATGACTGTTTTATCATCATCTAAACTAATATCAAGGAAACTTTTGATCTGAACCCCGTGAAACTAGGTATTTTCTGAAAGCAAAAGATATATTCTTTCATTTAAAAGTAAAATTAGCTGGTGTAAATGACTCAAAATTTTTTTCAGTGGGTAAAATGTGAAAAAAAAATAGTGAAAATTTTGCATTTTTTTCTTGTTCTAAACAAATATTTCCCCATTAATGGGAAATTAACCAATTTTTTTTTTTTTTTGAAAATCAGAAAGCCTAAATCATAATCAAACTATTTCAGGCATAAAATTGAGAGTTTTGAAGGAAATCAACATTCCTAGGGGTTCAAAATGCGACAAAATCCATTGTTAATTTTCAATTATATGACTGCCAAGGGTTAAAAAATTGACACCTGGCCACGGAAATCTTTAGTAAAAAGGCAAGAGATTTATCTGCAATTCCTAACCACCAGAAACCAAAAGTTTTTTCCCCCAAAAAAAATAGCGATAAGGGAAAATAAACCTAACTGACTTTGACGTCTGGGTCAAAGGTCAGCCAGCCAGCCAGCAATAAACGGACGGCAAACCTTAGAACAAGTTGTAATAAAACCCACCACTCCCAGATAAAAAAGCAAAAAAAAAAAAAAAAAAAAAAAGGGTTCACAATTACTAGGGCTTCATATAACCTATGTTTGAACAATGGCTTGATGAGTTTTGTTTTGTTTTTAACACCCCGTGACCCGGGTGATGACAACAACACTTAGCAGCCGACATTGTTTTTTTTCGCCGCATATCTTTCGTATTTCCCATCGCCGGTCCATTTAGCCTTTCTTTTTATTCAATGATGTTCATGCCAAATGAAAGAGAAAGGAATGAATTTTGAATGATGTTATTTTGAAGCGAAAATAAATATTTTTTCATAAAAAAAGGGGATTTTTCTCAGAAAATTGGGCATAATTTCTTAATGGTAACCGCTGAGTGACATTTTCCACAGCCAAATCGAAGATTAATTACCAGTGAATAATTCCATGTGCAAAAAATAGCCGTCTGGATCCTATAAGGTTGCCCTAAAAAGGTCCAGAAGTTTACTAATTGATCGAAAACCTGTTGCGCATAATTGTATTTTTCACGGTCAGTTTCCATTATTTCATCTTGATATTACCATTTTCGGACAGCCAAGTCATCAAGGATTCAGGAAAACACTTTGGCATAGGTTTTCTTTAAGAACTTTACATTCTATGAGGTGTTTAAAATGTTACTGACGAATGAGATTTTTTGCCGAATATTTCGTTTACGCGCCATGTTGGATTTTCCTATATGACAAAAACAAGGGTTTTAAACAGCTGTGATATACACACACACACACACACACACACACAGGGATGAGTTTAGTCTAAGTTAGGTACAGGTAAATATTGCCTTGGTGAATCCCTTAAAATGAGAGCATCGTGGCAATTTTTTTTAGAATTTGCAAAATTTGTTTTTATTTGTAAAAAGTAATATTAACATAAAATCTTTTAAAAAATTGATGAAAATAAACAAAGAGCTTAAAAAAAAAAAAATTTTGACAAATAACAGATTATGATGACTAAAATTATTAGTAATGATTTTACTGCAGTGGAACATTTTCAAAAAAGAAAATCAAGCATTGCAACATTAATTGCTTAGAATATGTTGTGGTAAGAATGAGATTTCTGTATTACTGTATAAAAATAAAACAAAGCTTTTTAAGCATAAAATTAAAATAACTATTGAAAAAATATGTACAGTAAATGCCAAAACAATCCTTTACTTTCCGACATGAATATTAATTAGTAATTTCTCATAAATAAAAATATTTTCACAACTAATTTATGTTGCCTAGCATTCAGAAGAACTTCCACTACTCAGGCAATTTGTCAGAATCGAAAAACATTAATTTTATTATTTCAGATTGGGGGAGGGGGCGGTTTCCTATTTACCGTATATATGTCAGACTGTTCCCTGACTTTTTGACACACATGTAGTTTTCTTTGTTTTGAGGAGACCATTCTATTTAAGTATCTCTGTTTTAAAATGAAATGTATTATTACTATGTTATGTGTGTGTATTACATATGATGTACATTTTATTTACAATAGCCATAAATGTTGCAAAATTGAAATAAACTTGCAAACATTTGTTGAAATGCCTTTCATTTACCTCTTTTCTTTGAAAATATATCTGCATAAGGATCTAGTCAAATTTTTTTCTTGTAAAGTCCCCGTGATTTTTTAGTAAAAAAAAAAAATTGTAACATTTTTCCTTCTTAATAAAAAAGAAAAAAAAAAGTTTTTTCTTTTCTTTTTTAAGTTGAAGGCAAAAATTGATGTGGATGTGGCTTATTTTTTTAAGGCCACCTCAGCAAAATGCTGCGGTCTAAACTCATATATATACATATATATATATATATATATATATATATTTTTAAATGGAAAAAGTCCGACAATTATTTTAAGACATTTTATGTTTATACATTTTTTTTATAGATACAAATATTTTAAATGTTGTTTTATATTATTTAGTATTATAATTTTTTACCTTTTGAATGTTCAAAAATTTTCATAGAAAAATACAACAGGAATCTAACCTTATTATATGGAACCATTATTTAGCCAGATGTGCCATATTTAACATTTTGAGCCATGGTAAAAATCGATTGCTTGTTGGGTAATCGAATGATCCTTTTTTTCGATAAGACATCATCTTAAAATGTCTGTTCTATAGGATACAAATTATTGGAGGACAAATATTTTCCATGAAAATTTCTCAGACATTCAGGCCGGTAAATGTTATACTGTTTATTATACACACACACACTCAAATTAATAAGTTACATTTATATAAATATCTTCAGTACAAAAAAAATTATAATTCTTTACTTTAAAACTGTTCAACCAATTATATTACATGTATTAGTGATAAATGAACGGATCACTATCTCCAAAACTATTTCATTATAAATCTCTTCTTTTTGTCTCTTAAAACTACAATTCTGAAGGTTTAATATTTTACTATGAAGCTACCCCTGCTTGGCACTTAAGATTGAAAACCAAATATAAGAGAGATATTTTTTTTCCATCTCATATCCTATGAGTAACATTCAGATTTCTGAAAATAAATAAAAATACAAATGTTGTCTGTGACATTTATACTTGTATATTTAGCTTCAATCCAATGTTAAGAGTTGATATTTTAATCTCAAAAACACTTTCCAAAGGAATTTTGGGAAATGTTTTTTTTTTTTTTTAAACTTTAAGTAAAAGGAATTAACAGGTTACCATGTTCAGACACACATACACAAACACAGAGCAACAGTTTAAAGAGAGCAAGACCTCTGCAGTAGATAGGCTCCCCAGACAATGAAATCGATGGATTACAGTGAGCTACATATACTAGGTAGGTTCAAAAGTTTTCACCAGAAAATCAACACCCATGTTTAAAAAAAAAAAAAAAAAAAAAAAAGCTCCCAATGCAAATGTTTTCTGTTTATATCTTCAACCCACAAATTCAATTGAGGGGCAGGTAAAAGCACAAATTAATAATATAAAGTAGGTACCATCATGAGATTGCTGGAAAATGAGCATAGCCGGATAATAACAGCCTTAAACTTGATGAAAATAATTTCTCATCTAAATGTTTATGTTAACAAAAGGAAAGATCAAAGTATTTTTTGATTATTTTTTTTTACATTTTTTAATAATTTCTAGAACGTCCAAAATTTGTTAAAAATTTTGTATTTTTTTTTGATCAGCAAAATTGACAGAAAATCAATCAATTTTCCATCAATTTTGCTGATCAAAAAAAATATAAGATTTTTAACAAAAATTTGGGATGTACTAGAAATTATTAAAAAAATGAAAGTTTCCATTTAAAAAAAACATTTATGATTTTTTCAAAAATTAATTTAAGAAAATTAGAAATTGTAAAGTTTATTTAATGTATTTTAAAACAAACATTACTTACTTTCTGTGCTGGAAAAAAAAAAAAAAAAAATGTACTTTCAAACAATAGAAAGCCAGGCTTAACAGAGGTGTAGATTGACAAGTAACATATGCATGATTTCATCTTACGGGAGGAAAAGTTATAGTACGGAAGGTCACAAGTGACAGTTTAGCTTTATGTGAACAACTTATTTACCTCCTTATTTTTAAGTAGGCATAGCATGATAAAAACGGCCTTAAATTTGATGAAAGCAGAATTTTATTGTCAAAATGTTTATGCTACTACCAATGCAAACCATGTGATGGACATTGTTTTCATGATGCTTCCGGTCTTCCGTATATTTGAATTTAAACTATTTTGATACAAACAAGTAAAAGCAACTAAAGGCTTTTGAAATTAAATAATATCTTTGTTTTATTGAGTTTTGTATGTTACAATTCAGAGCTGATTTTAAGGTCGAAAAGTGTCAACTAATGTTATAGTGGAACACACCTATTCTATAGTTAATAGACTCTCCCACCTATAATAAGTAGGAGTAGTAATAGTAACGAGAAAATTTGAGTCAGTTGGTCAGTCAGTTGATGTCAAAACAGTTTTGAAATACTAAAGTATCGAAAAACAACTAGGTTACTCTGCATTATACCTATTATATCAAGTTCTAACGTTTTTAATCCGAACCTATTCAGGATGAATTTAAACAAATACATGTCTCCACTTGTGAAATCAAGCCACAACATAATTTGAAAACGAGGAATTCTGGATTCATATGGTGGAAAGAGAGAAAAAAAAAAATTTGTTTTTACAAGAATAATTTGGTGATGAGGATTCAAACTCATCCAGAGGAAAAAAAAAATTCGTTCGCCACAGTATTATTTGGCGATGAGGGATTCGGATTCATATTTGGAAAAAAAAAGTTTGTTATTATACAACATTATTTTTACTATAAGATTGTGATTCATACGTTGGAAGAAAAAAAAAAAAAAAAAAAAAAAAAATTGGCTCACCACAACATTATTTGGTGACAAAATTTGTACTCATACGGAGGAAAAAGAAAAAAACTTGCTTGTCACAATTTCGGTGACAAAATCTCAGATTCACACTTAAAAAAACTTGGCAAAGTTTTTCGAAAGACAAGAAGTCAACTTAGTAACAAAAAAATCTGTCGTATTCTCAACTGAGAAAAGAATAGCAAATTCGCAGGATCCCCGCTCCCCACCATCTACAATATTTAGGCATTGGGTATATTTTTGCAAAGATGGAGGAATGCAAAAATATGTTCCGGAAATTCTTTAAGTTACAGTCGGAACAACAGATGACAATATTACAGCAACAAAGAACATTCCAGATGCAGCTAAAGGAGGAAACTTTTAGTAGACAAATGCAATTTCAACAAAAAATGGAACAGATGCATAGGGAAAACAAAACAAAACATAACATAACAAAATTCTGGAAATAACTGAGAAGAGGAAAGAGAAAAATCTACAAAATGATTTTTTCCCAGAGAATACAATATGGAATTCAATTGAAATATTCACGTACAGTCCAGATGAAGAGATTACTTTTGAAGAGTATTATAAAAATATACGGACGTGTATAACGAGGACTGCCACTACGTGGTCTGAAGGAAAGAAGGTTAGGCTTCTTTTAAGCAAATTAGAACTTCTGAGGATAACCAATTTGTTAACTACATTTTACCGGAAAAAAACTAGCGAGTTGACATTTACCGAGGCGATAAATATATTAAGTGAATTATTTAGTAAAAAGACATCTTTGTTTCACAAGGTGTGGAAATGTTTGAATCTGATGAAAGATGACGAACAAGACTATATAACGTACACAGCCAATGTGAATAAGCATTGTGAAGAATTCAAGCTGGCAGAGTTAAGCACAGACAATTTTAAGTGCTTGGTGTTTGTTCAGGGGCTGGTATCGAAAAGAGACACAGAGTCAAGAAAATTAGTACTGGCAAAATTGGAAAGTGATCCAAGTATTATGGTACAGAAATTGGCAGAAGACTGCACAAGATATGTTAGCATAAAGAAAGATTCAAAAAAGATAGAACAGTCTGGTGTTTCACATGCAAGGAAAACACGCTAAAAAAAAGAAAGTCTAACAAAAAGAATTCTAAAATTGCGGATTATCAAACAAAAAGTGAAATACCAGAGAAAAATCAACAAAAACTCCTGAAGCCATGTTTTGCTTGTGGTGAACTTCACTGGTACAGATATTGCAATTTTAGGAATAAAAAATGTTTCAACTGTAAAAAAGTGGGTCATAAAAGCTCGTACTGTAGGTAAAAAAATAAAGACAATAAAATAAGAAAATTACAGTCCAATGAGGTGAACAATGGAATAACCAGAAAAGTTACTGTCGAAATAAGTAATAAAAAAATAAAAATGCAACTCGATACTGGTTCCGACCTATCTATCATAAATTTGCATACGTGGAAGAAGTTGGGGAAACCAACTTTAATGAAGACAAAGAAAATCGCGAGGTCGCGAGGGAGAAAAAATACAATTTATTGGTGAATTTGTTACAAATGTCACGTTAAATAAAAAAATGCGAAAAGCTAAACTATGTCATAGAAAATACCATGAACTTACTTGGTACAAATTGGATAACAGTATTCCAATTATGGGATCTAACGATAAATTCTTTCTGTTACAAGGTAGAAAGTTTAAACTACGAGGCCCAGAAATTAGTAAAGAAACTTAAGGAAACATTTCCTACTGTTTTTTTCTCCAGGTTTGGGAACGTGTACCAAGATGAAGGCAAAATTCCAGCTAAAAGAAAACGCTCAGGAGGTATTCAAAAAGAAAAAGAATGTGCTGTTTGCTTCAATTGAACAGATAAAGAATTGGACAGATTAGAGAATACAGGTGTACTTGAAAAAGTTGAATGGGTAACACCGATGATATACGTGGAAAAAAAGCTCCAGACAGTAAAGATGAAGCCGACACAGAGAAAAACTGAGGAGCGAGTTACCCACAACCAAGGACATGCAGTATTATTAAATGATTTAAGTTAACTGAAGTTACCACAGACAACATTAAGAAGCACAAGATCAACAAAAGAGAAGCTAGAGGCTGAACAAATAGAACAACAAGAAGAACTGACAGAAACTGTGACTCCATCCTTAAGAAGCTCAAAGTGGAAGGTTGATTCTGGTAACACTATGGAGGTAGCAAAAAATAAAAATGCGGATTGGCAATAGGATGTAATTGGTAAAAGGCGAAAAATTCACGTGCAGTAACCAGATCAGACGACATTTTTCAGATGTGGTTGACAGCGATCCTGTGGAAGAAACACCAATGGAGGTGATTTTCGATACGCTTGATCCAACAATGACTGCAACAATTTTACCTGAGGTACGCCGATCCAGGAGAAAAAGGCAACTGACCATTTAAAAGTGGATCAAAAATGTAGTAGATACGATACAATGCAAAAAAAAAAAAAAAAAAAGTTTTTTTTTTTTTGTTTTCTCTTCATATTTCCTGTAAAAAATAAAGAAAGAAAACTGTTTGCTCCTATCAGGGGGGGGGGTTATAGTGGAACACACCTATTCTATAGTTAATAGACTCTCCCACCTATTATAAGTAGGAGTAGTAATAGTAACGAGAAGTAAGTGAGTTGGTTGGTCAGACAGTTAGTCGAATACTAAAGTATCAGCAGCCACAACTAGGTTACTCTGCGTTATACCCATTACATCAAGTTCCTAACGTTTTGTATGTCAAACCTATTTTAGGACCAACTTGGTACAAATACAAGCCTCCACTGTGAAATCACTCCACAACTAATAAAATAAAAAAAAAAAAAAAAAAAAAAATTGCTTTAATGCCTTGTGCTTTTAACTAATTAATCACTAAAACTGTACAAATTAGAATTTCATAAGTTTTCATAAAATTAATTGGGGAAATAAATATAGAAATTTTTTTTACTATCACTTTAAAAAAAATAAATAAACATATTTATAATAATTTCTATCATTTGTGAATAGTTTCTGAAAGTTTCATTAAAATCTGACAATTATTTTTATTTTTGCAAGATTTTCAAAATTAATGACTGCCATTAAAAAAAATGTACACAAAAATCTGCCATGTTATTTAGTAGGACACTTGCTGATGAAGAGAAACAATGTTTTTCAATTAAAAGTTAGAATGCTCTAATAAAGACAGAAAAATTTTGAAAAATAATTAAAAATTACTTTGTTCTTGCCTCTTAATAAAAACAAACATTCTGACGATAAAATTTTGTTTTCGTCAAGTTTAAGGCCGTTATTATCCTGCTATGCTCATTTTCCAGCGATCTCATGGTGGTACCTAATATAAAGATCTAGCTTTGAAGACATAGGACTCTATTCATTTTTTTTTTTTTTTTTAATTTTCAATATATTATTAAAGATTTGTTATGTCTATAACTTTCTTTTGTTAAATGTTTTATTTCTTTCACATATTTTACAAAGTAATATCAGTTTAATAAAAATTGGGAACACAAATTCAGCCACCTCTAAGTCAGTCCATCAAACTGCGGTTGGCTATCCAGAGATGATTAGGTCTTACTATAATTTTTATTTCAGTTTTCCAAAGCCGAGATCAAGTTGAGAGAATTAGACAATGTATGAAAATAGCTATATATGAATTTTCTTAAAATGCTTATAATTAGCCAACTTGTTAAACTATTATTCTGTGTTGATGTTATATATTGAATAGATCTACCTTGTATCAAGAAGCATATAAAAACATTCAAGACTTAAGAGACTGTTTTTCATGCATTTCTCATTTTGCAGCATTGTTTACGAGTAAAGAGAGAAGGAAATTATCAGAAATATACAAGAGGAGGATAAACATTTACAGCAGAAAAGGAATAAAAATACATACTGAGCAATAACATCTCTTCCATTAATGATGGGCTTGATAGCTCTCTGTTGGATGGCAGAGGGTTTTTCAAAACCTAAATGATAAAAACAGAAAGCAATATAATTGGATATGCAAATAATTTTACAGAATGGTTGAGAGGAGATAAAAAAAAAAAAACATCCTACCAGTCTCTCTCTACATATATTGTAGAGTAACTGGCTATGGTTAAGTATAATTGGCAAAATGCTCAACAAATGAAATTGACAAAGTTCTCAAACTCTAAGAAAAAGGATATGGCAAAATAATACTAAGTAAACTGCAAGTTAAAACAAGGCAAATCAACAGCAAAAAGTTCAAAGTAAGAATGGTGTTCACACACAAAATGAATAGAGTCAAGTGATTGTAGCGTTCTGACTTCAAGACAAAAAAAAAACATGGCAGATGAAACCGAGAAGTTCATTTTTATTGGTTAAAAAGAATTCTCAGCATGCATTTGTACGATTAGCCTATAAATTTGGGGAGGAGATGTTTTTAGGAGTCATTCCCTATAAATTGGGACTAACAGTCTCTTACCATTTTTTTTTTAGTTTGTTTTTTTCTTAGAATTTCAAGGAACTGGCCCTATTCCAAATATT